TATAAATGAAAGGTGTTATTATAAGATATTTCTCGGATAGAGGCTACGGCTTTATTCTTGGAGAGGATGAAAAAAGTTATTATTTTCATATTTCAAAATTCAAAAAAAGAAATGAATTAGATGAAAATTTTCAAGATTATTATCGCTACCATTTTGACGATACTTGTTATCAAATAACTTTTGTTCCTAGCACTAGTGAGCGAGGATTATGTGCTATAAATATAAATCTAACTGATGAAAAAATAAATGATAGAGAAAATCATGAAATCTTTGATGCCAAAATCACAGAATTGAAAAATGACATTCAAACTATATCGAGAACTGTTCATGGAATCAAAAAAGGAGAAAGTGCGCCTTTTTTTTCAACAGCTGGAGGCAATGGAACATATCGTCTTGGTTATCCTGAAACCTTTAGAAATTTATATCTATACTTTTCAAGACAAGATAAACAAGGTTGGGGCTTGATTGAAGTTCGTGATTTGTTTTTAGAAGTCAACGGGAGGTCAAAAATAACCTCAAAATCAATTGATTCATTGCAGGAAAAACTAATAAATAAAATTATTAAGATTACATCCAACGGCAAGGAATGGATTCTTGTAGATGACAACTTTTTAAAAATATAATACAACCATCAAAATGGATATTGAACTTGAAGAAAAAAACAACTGGGCAAAAATCAGATTAACATTAAATCAAAACTATGATTATGACGATTCATGGGAAAAAGCCATTAAATTATTTGAGAATCGTATAAACAGGAAGTTTTTTAATCCAGTTGAGCTAATTATAGCAGGAAAAGCTTTAAAAGGTGAAGGTTTTACAATAGTGACAGTTCAATGCGCATTAATTGAAATGTTTGCAGCGTTTAGAACTGGGAAAATATTCAATCACAATAGATCGAGCTCCTCACCCAAATATGAGTATGACAAAAGCCAACAAATGTTTACAAGTCTTTTAAGGTCAGCCAAAATCTTTAAGGATAACTTTTGGGAATTAAATCAACAAAACAAACACGTAATTGATAAGCCCTTCAGCGCAAAGGAGTTTTATACAAATGTCCGCTGTGGACTCATGCATGAAGCAAGAACTAAGGGCAACTGGCATATTACAGCCACACCATCAAATAAATCTGTGAAAACAGAAAAACATTTTTTGGTTTTAGAGGATGGAAAAATTAAAATCTATAGAACTGTTTTACATCACAAACTAACAGAATACATGATTGACTACTTAAACGAATTAAGAGAGATAAATAATGATGGGAAAGAACTGAGGAAGTTTTTTGCTAGAAAACTCGATAATTTATTTGACTACCAACCCGATTCAAAATTTAATTGGTGGAATTAACATCAAATAGTTTTTAAAAAATAAACTAAATAATCAATGGGGATAAATTTAAATAACGGAAAAATTATCGGAGATACCGAAGATTTCAAAATCTTTAGTCAAGATTTTGATAAGAATATTGAATTCCTCGAAAGTTTTTCCAATTTAATATTGTTTAGTGGGAGAATAATCTCTTTTTTTTCAGACAAAAAAATGCACTTTGTTAGTACGGCTTTACTTGATAATTCGATTCAGACTTTAAAAAGTATAAAATTATGTTGTTCAATTGGAAGTTTTGCAGATGCGAATACTTTGATTAGAAAACTAAGGGATGACCTTATATTATATGTTTACATTCTTGATGTCGCAAATAAAAGAAAACCATTTGTTGAAGAAGATTTAAATGATCTGAGCGCAAATAACTCCAAAGAATTTACTGATACGTTTTTAAACATGCGCTTCAATATTAACTTAACTGAAGATGAGATAGCTGTTGGTGCATGGCTTAATAATACTGTACTTGAACTACCTTATAAAGTAAAAATGAAATTAAGCTTTGAAAACTATATGAAGTTTTTAAAGCAAAATGAAAACATTTCTAAAATACTCAAAGATTATAAATTACAAGATTATTGGGAAACTTTAAGGAATAAACTAAATAACTATGTTCACAATAATGGTGTTCAATTTACTTCTCATAATCTAATAAAAGTGCACACTGAGTCTTTAGATGTTTACTTGAAAAACATAAATACTAGAACATCGTATATAATAACTTTCTTTTTAGTTCTTATTGTAATGACTGAAGCAGCTTTAATTTCTTCTACTGATATGATAGACTATTTAGATTGTGGGATGGAACCGCCAGAGGACTGTCAATATGAAATAGCACCATTCATCCAAGAATATATAGATAATGAAGTTGTAAAAATTCATCCCGAATTAAAACAGTTCTTAAAAGACAATAATAATTACGGAATGAAGATAAATTAAATGCATTAATACAATGAATAAAATTCAAAGAGTAGAAAAATATATTTACGAGTTCTTTGCTAATCGATTTGAACAATACGATTCATTTTATAGGTCAACTCACCGTGATAGAACTTACGGAGTTTATAAACTGAATGACGGTACAAAAGTAATGGATTTGATAATGAGCATCCACGGTAATATTGAAGACCTATTCTATTATGAAAAATTAATTCCACATAAGTTCACTACACCCGAATCTTTATTTTCATCTCTAAATGCTTTTAAAGAATATTTAATTAAGCACGAATATTTGATTAACGAAAATTTAGATGGAGAAAACACATTCTATGTTGTTAGTGAACTTTTAAAGATTAAAACTGAATTGATTCAAATGATTGATTATGCAAAGCAATTATATGATTTTGAGGATAATGTCATTCCCTACCAAGATTTGAGATATTATTTGATAAATAAAGACATTAATAACTTCATTAAAACTTTAAAAAGTATTTTGTCTTCTGTCTCCTATGCAATTGCCAAAACTAAAGAGGGTTACCATCATTCTAACATTCATCTTATCTTAAAATTACTTGGGTTTGAAATTATTTCTGAAGAGATTACCAATGTAGGGAGAATCGATGCAGTAATTAGATTCATAGATACTATTTACATATTAGAATTTAAATTTGGAGGAGATGAAGATTTAAGTAAAGAAGCATTAAAACAAATAAAGGAGAACGGTTATCCTGAAAAGTTCTTTGTTGAAAAGAAAGAAATTTTGGCTATTGGAATTAGTTTTAGTGAAGCCGATAGAAACATCAATGGTTTCGAAGTAGAAAAAATCAACTAATAAATAAGTATAATTCACATTTGATGAAATTAGAAAGCACATTATTAAAAACCCTATTACAAAAGCAAGATTACAGAAAATCATTTGCTACCATCGTGGAGAATTTTGAGGAGAAACTGGCCAATTTTGATCCTGTAAATAACGGTATCGAAATTGAAAAATACTTCAGTACCGGCAATGGATTGGCATCGATACAAAAAAAACTTTTATCAGATAATATTTTCAAACTTGAAGACATCTATACCTACAATGCAAAAGGTGGGAAAAGCAAAACTGATGTGAAAGGACTGTACGTTTTCGTTTACGAAAATGAACCAATATATGTGGGCATTTCAAGATGTCTTATTCGTCGCACATTACAGCACTTAAGAGGCAAAAGTCATAACACATCTACATTGGCTTATAATATAGGTTTGATTAGACATCAAATATTAAATGGGGAAGAATACATAGGAAGGCGTAAAGAATTTGATTTTAATAATAATGTTTCCCCTGCGAAAGATTTCCTGTTTAAACAAAAAATAGCCTTTCTGCCAATTGAAAACAGCGAAGAATTATATCTGTTTGAAATATTTTGTGCTATGAAACTCGGCTGTTGGTTAAATAAATTTGAAACTCATTAGATTCATTGTTTTTGCTTAATCTGGAATTTTAATTAAAATGTAGTGTATAGTCTGTAGAGATATAGACTACAAAAACGTATAGATAATTTTATTTATAATGCTCTTTAAATAAATGGAAGATATTAAAGAAAAGTTTTGAAAAAGAATTGTTGAACTTAGAAAGGCTAAATGATTATCTCAAGAGAAGTTGGGCTTTTTGTCAAAAATTCACAGAACTTATATATCAGAAATTGAAAGAGGTGAGGCAAATGTTTCATTAGAACATATTTGCAAATTAGCCATAGCATTATGAGTTGATTTATCTAAATTATTTGATTCAATATGACAGATTTAGTAATTGCTTGAGAAAATTGAAGATCGTCATGATATAATTATGAAGATGTAATTATTGATTTAATAAACAATAAAGACGAAAGATGACTTAAAATAGTTGAATTTATCAGTAATGATACTTGTATTAGTCTTGATGAATATATCTTTCGAGCTATAAAATCCCCAAAAACTGTAGAGGATGCTGTTTTAAACTGAAGAAAAAAGCCTCCGAAGGCAGATGCTATATTATATTTTGAAAATATAAAGACTGGTAATATCATAATTAGAGGAATTTCAATAAAGTCTTCAAACATAAATATACAAGTATTAATTACTAATGTTAAAATGTTTTTAGATGTCTGTAAATGATATTGATTGGATATTTCAAATGAATATTTGGAAATGGGATTATCCAAATTTTGTTGATATTGAAAATATAAGCCATCACTTGTTTTAAAAAATGAAGATATAAAAAAACTTAAGCAATGAAATAGGGATAGACGATTGATACAAGAGTTATCTGAAAATGAAAGATTAACAATAAAGAACTTTTTTAATTTAAATCAAAGACCAATTACTGAAATAATTTTAAAGAAATGAAGTTGACCAAAAGAATATCGAGCTGATTATTATTTGGTGAATAAAACTAAATATTCTGCCACTCAAATTGTTGATTTTAAAATAGATAATATTGAAAATATAATTAATAGAAGTATGGATATTTGATATAATGAAACTAAACAATGAAGTTTTCATATATGACATTTAACTGTTCAAATGAAAGGAAGTTGAAAATGAGAAGCCTACCATTGATTGCAATTTAACAAAGCATGAATATAGTTATTTTGGCATATTTAATAGTATCTTTTTCACCAGCATTGGAGGTATTCATTCTCAAATTACTTTTCTTACCAAGCTTTCGCTTGCTCGTGTTGGAGGAGACCAATTATCGGGTAATCCTGTTAAAATAAAAATTTCTTTTAAAGATAAAACTCTAGCATCACTGTAAGTACCGTCATTTAATAAGTTTCATGGATGAACGTTATTTTGTGAGGATATACTTCAATTTGCCATAGTTATGGTCGGTGCAGGTTTATCCCAATCTATTCTTTTGTAAGTAGTATTGTATCATTTTATTTTTCTTCAATCTTTTTCTGGGTAATAATTTTCATTTTCTAAAGCTGTTTTTCCAGTTGGAGTATTTTTCATCCATAAGATATGTCTATCATTATGTTTTGTTCAATAATGATATGGGATTTTACTTTTTTGACCACTTTCTAAACTTGGAAGATGTCAAATAGCTTCTCTAACGGTTATCGCCTTTTCTTTCGTTGGCAATATTCGTTCTTTTGATTTGTGTCATAATATTATAGATCTTTTTCTGGTTTGAGGAGTTCAATAATCCGCAGAATTAGCTACATTAAATGTTATTTTGTACTTATCTCAAAGTCTCATTTTTATATAATCTGGTATTAGAATTTTTTCTCAATGATAAATTATATATGTTTTCAATGCTTGTGGTACATTTTCTATAAAAAAAGAGTTTACGTCAGTATCAATTATCATATCAATTGCTCTTATTATTAAGGAGTTTCTTGGGTCATCTTCAGACATTTTTCAAGCAATACTCATTCATTGGCAAGGAGGAGTAGCCATTAAAAAGGTTACTTTTTCGTCAATACTTTTACTAACTATTTTATTGTATACTTCATCGTTTGTAATATCTCCTTGAATTATATGTGAATTTGAGTATAAATGGTTGTAAAATTTACATCTTTCTTCTAAAAGTTCATTTGCAACTACAATGTCAATTCACAATTCTTTTAAATATGTTTCTGCTATTCAAACGTTAGCGAACAATGAAACTCACTTAATCATTAGTTAAGAATATTTATATTATAAAGATGTAGACTATACACTACAGAAAAAAAATTATTTTGCAAGAGAAAATATTAAATTAATACATTAGAAATTTTCTTAAATTTTTTATAGAAATTAATAGACACAAATATTTATCAATATAAAACTTCTATGACTATAATTCTTAAACGAAATATTGATGAAAAATTTCGAGAATTAATTGAATGAGATACTTTGATTTCTGTTCATAATAAATGGATTGAATGAAATATTAAAGGTTCCTCATTAGCGAGAAAAAAGAATTGTAACTATATAACTTTTACTAAAGATTGAAATATTCGTAATTGAAATAAAATAACTTCAATAAATACTGATATATCTAAAAATGAAATTTATCACAAGTAATAATTCAATATACTATGAGTTTGTTTTATTTTAACCTACAACAGCTCCTTCAATATCTTTTTTCTTATCTGCAATTCTCAAACGCTCCAATCTTCTGTCTCTGAATAGGATTGTTTTTATAGACTCCTCAAGGGTTGGAGTTGAAAAATACCACTGATGGTACTCTAATTTTTGGCAAAAAAGTGTTTGAACAATTTTCTTTTTAAGTTCAGTTGGACTGTCTTTGTAAACGGTATCTACCCCTTTAAGAAAAGTGATGCCTTCTTTTAGATGTTTTTCAAAGAAGCGTTCTTTAACTCCCATTTCTTTGAGTTCGATTTTAATTTCAGACAGGCGATTATCGATTCTATTTTTCATAGTGTTAAAAGTACTAGCATCGATTTGTTTTTCAAACAAATGGTCTTCTGCCATTTCTAAACGTTTGTATAAGTTTTCTTCTTCACGCTTAAGAGATTGAATAAGGGTTTGTTTGTCTTGGTGACGCTCGGAGAAACGTTCCGAAAGCAACGAAGTATAGACGGATTCTTGTTCCTTTTCAATTTTCATTTCGCAGAGCAGTTTTTCAAACAATGCGTTGACTTCAATTGCTTTGTGTCTGGTTTTACAATAACGGGTACAATGATAGTAGAAATAGGTGTTTTTGCCATCTCTTCCTTTACTACCTGAACCTGTTAGTAATTTTCCACATTCGGGACATACTAAAAAGCCTCGTAAGGGAAGTGCTTGGTCTATTTCAGTTAAGGTTCTAACGGGAGCTTTGTATTTTCCTTTTAGAATCAGTTGTACTTTTTCAAATATTTCAGGACTCACTAGACATGGGTGCAGACCTTCCACAATCATTTCTTCTTCTTTTTTGTAGGGTTTGATGTAAATCTTACCCATATAGGTTGGATTTTTAAGAATCCCTAAAAATCCGTTTCTAGAAATCTTCAATCCCTTTTTCAAAAAGTTAAGTCGCACTTGTTCCGCACTATAGATGCCTTTGGCATATTCCATAAAGGCACTTTGAATAAGTGGACCAAAAACAGGGTCAAAAGTTAATGTGGATTTCCCTTCTGAATTTCTACAATTTACATATCCTTTTGGGGCAATTCCTGTAAAACAGCCTTCTTTCATGGCTTTACGAAGACCGTCAATAGTACGAAGGCTGTTCTTGTCGTTTTCAATTTCAGGAATCACTAAATAAACCGCTAAAAGTACTTTTGAGTCGGGTTGACTCAAATCGAGTGGTTGTTCCATCGAATTCACTTCGATGCCCATCTCTTTGAACTCACGTATCATGCGGTACGCAGCCTCAATATTGCGTGAGAAGCGGTCCCATTTCAAAAACAATAAAGTGTCCACTTTATTTTGATTGGCTTTGGCAAAGCGAAGGAGTTTTTGAAATTCAGGACGAGCAGAAAAGTTTTTAGCGGAGTAGTCATCTTGAAAATGAGCCATAATAGTGTAACCGTTTTGATTACAATAATTTTCCAATTGCTCTTTTTGATGACGCAAACTAAATCCTTTTTCGGCTTGTTCGTCTGTGGAAACGCGGGTGTAAATAATTACATTTTTCATCTCTTATTTAAAGTTTTTTTCTTGGCTTGATTCAGGTATTCAATCTCTACAAATTGTATTAATTTCAAGCGGATTTCAGCCATCATTTTCTCTGAAAATACAGGCTGATTTTTCGCTTGAATTGTGACATTATTTTGGGATTGAGATTTCATGAAAGGTAACACTTAAGGGTTGGAAACTAAAGTTGTTTTAAACATTTTAAGAGAACATTAGCTCTTTTATAGGATATAAAAAAGGTGATAAAATAGAACTGGTTTTTAAAAATTAATGGCTCACGGGCACCGTGTGCAGGATTGCATTATGACGGTCATAACTGACCGATAATGCAACCTGTTCAGGGATAACTCCCTAAAAACCCTGCCTCCCCAAGTCAAGCCTCCCCAACCCCTCCGAAGGAGGGGCTTTAATAACAGAAGCATAATAAATTTTTTATGGTTGTTTTTTATAGTCTCTCTCGTGTTCATTTTCTTTTGCTTTTTTGAGTAATTCTAATCGGTTTATAAGTGTCGGATTTTGCTCTAATTGATGTAAAATATCAACGGTATAGCCAAGGGTTTTAAATCGGTATTTTCGCTTAGCTTGTACTCCTGTAATTTTTCCACCTCGAGAGTAAAGTACGAGTCCATTATTTTGTAATTTCTGATAAAATTCCTGCTCGGATTTTGCTGTTTTAAAACAGTTTTCCAGTTGGTTTACTATTTTTTGTTTTTCAGAAATACCACCAGAGTTTTGAATTATTTTTTCATTATCCTTTACCAATACTTTTTTGTGAGACATAGATTTCTCGTGTCTGATTTTAGAAAGCACTAGCTCTGGGAATATCTCTTGCTGGTATTTTTCCATGGGCACTTTCACTTTGTTTTGAAAATCATCTTTAGATATCCGAATGGACTTTCCTGTTTTGTATTGCACGCCCGAAAAACAAATGTGTAAATGGGTATGGTCTTTTTCGTTTTTATGAACCGTGGCTATGGCAATGGAATTAGGAGCTCTTAATGACAAATATTTCATAGTAATTTGGTGCAGTTTTTCATTGGTAAGCCTTTGTGCATCTCTGGGATGAAACGATAAAATATCCATATATAAAACCACATTGTTTTTCCTTCTATTTAATCGTAACTGCTCATTTATCAATAGTTGATTTTGTAACGCTTCAACAGAAAGATTTTCACCTTTAATAAATTTGGTTAGTCTAAAACCATCATCTATTTCACTCTCACGAAAGATATAGTTCAAAACCGTGGTGAAACTTCGGGTGGTTTTATAAGATTTACTTTTGATAATCATAATTCCGTATTTTAGAATTATTTAATATTTTTCTTCCATCAGATTCTGTAACTTTTCCAAGTGTTTTTCCAGTAGTGCTATTTGAGATGTGTCGATTAGTTTTCTTTGGTAGAGTAAACTCTCCAAATAATCTATTATGATAAAAAGTTGTTGTTCTATTTTTAACCCAAGTTCTTTCTCGAAAGAACTAGTTGTATCAATAATTTGCAAATTGGTTTTTAAAATACGTTGTATGTAACTGCTTATTGACTCTCCAGCAACTAATTTTTGGATTAATAGTTCCAAAGTTTCTTTGTTTAATGAAATAGTTACTTCTTTGGTTTTTTTTCTCTTGTCTTGTTTAAGCTTTCTATTATAGGCTTTCCAATAGTCTTTTTTTGCTTGTATGATTTCATTTTCACTTGGAAAGGCGTCTTTGAAAATAACATCTAAATAATCATGGAGGCTTTTATAGTTTCCCGGTTCCATGGTTTTACCTTTCGAGCTGGTTGTCTAAGTCCTTATGAGAGGCTTCCATTTTTTTCTGTTCTACATAACACTCGTTTATAAACTTTTCTGGATCAGGAAGTTTATCAATCGAAAAACTTTGTACCAGTTTAATTGGGCGATAGTTGTTCTTGGGGTCGTTTAAATCATAAAATCTTTCCTCTTTTGAGATTTCTAAACGGTTTAGTCCTTTATACACCTCGAGTGTATTTTTATCCAAATCTATCACATAAGCCCATTGGCAAAACAAACTCTCTCGAGCGAAATCTTCTGAATTAACTAGTACAATTTCAGTTTCATTGTTATATTCCAAAAGTTTATTTAATACTCCAGCACCTAAATTTGGGTTTTCAAGTGGATATTGTTTGTCGTACAGTTCGGCTTGTTTATAGTTTAAACATCCATTAGTAACACCTAACGATTTGGCAAATTCTTTTTTTTCTTTGATGTCTTGTTCCTTCTCAAAGCGTATGTTGGGAATGATTTGCTTTAATTTTTCAACATTGGACTTATCTTGTAAAAAAGTAAGTATTGTGATGCCTTGCCCGTCTGGGAATCCATCCCATTGCCCGTATTGTGCTATTTTAGTCTCTTGGTTCTGTATGACCATTGTAAGATTTCGTGTTCCCATAATTTTTATTTTTTTTGTGTTAACGTTCTAAATCAGAGACATGTTTTTTGTTTATATCTGTATGTTTGTTTTGTTCTTTAATCAATTCACTGAGGTGGATTTCTTTAAAATTAATATCTCGCTCAATAGTTAATCCAAGAGAAGGTTCAGCAGATTCCAGATTTGGGATGTAAAATACTCCCCATTCATCGGTAAATCCTTTGAGGTAACAGCTACACATTTGACTTTTAGGATTATACTCGATTACATACCATTCCAATTTTCTGGTCTTATCAAAAAACTTGGCAACAATAATGGGGTCGGAGTTTTGAGATTGAACACCTATTACTGCAAAGCGGTTTTCCATTTCTTTTGTGATGAGTTTCATTTTTTAACGATTAGATTTTTTTAAATTATCGCTCCAAATCTTGTTCCTTAATGATTTCTTTAAATCGTTGTTCTTTGAAATACAAATCTCTTTCAATGCCAAGTCCGAATGGACGTTTGATAGATTCAAGTTCTGTAATGGAAAAGGTGCCCCACTCATCAAAAGCAAGTCCTGTTACATACCCAAAGGCTATTTTGTTTTCTTTATCATATTCTGTGGCATACCAAGTAGCAGAACCACAAGGGTCAAAAAACTTGGCAACAATAATAGGGTCAGCAGTTTGGGATTGGCATCCGATTTTTTCAAATCGTTCTTCAAGGGTTTTTGTTATGAGTTTCATAATGTTATATTTTAATTAGATTTTATTATCGGTACGAAGACAGGTCTAAATAGCTTACACTGTAATTGGTATGTGGTGGCATTCTTTGGGGTCTGATTTGAAGCTTTCTAATCAACCCCGGTTGTTTAAAGGCAGGTGTAATAGCAACTTTAAGTGGTTTTTCTCCCGATGGAATTACCAAAATTTCGTTTTTCATTTCTCGGATTTCCGATGCGGTCATAAGGGCACGCTGACGAATACTTCCTGATTTTTCATCCTTATATTCAAAATTTCCAAGGATTCGCTCCAATTGATACGCCTCTTCTCCTAGTCCACCGTAATAACATTTTACATTACAGTTGTTGAGAATATTTTTGGCATTTTCTCCGTATTTACTCAGTAAGGCTTCGGATTGTAAAATCAGTTGTTGTGGAATTTTAAATTTTCGTGCATTGGAAATAATTTCGGAATAGCCTTGTATTGCTGTCAGAGTATCAAATTCATCCATTACCATACAGATGTCGAGTTCTCTATCACTAGGCAGATATGAGAATGAAAATCGAAAGAATTCTTGATAAAACAAGGAAACCATAGGTGCATAATAACGAACATCTCCAACTGGTACGTGTACAAATAAAGCATGAGCCCGTGTTCTAAAGTCTTCAAATCGAATAGTGGTGCGAGAAGTAATGTCACATAATGTAGGGTCTTCTCCGATAAATGAAAGTGCAGCTAAGGCACTAGCCACAATAGATTTTCGTGTATTTTCTGAAGCTCCCGCCAAGGCTCTAAATTTAGTAAATACGCCTTCTGATCCTTTGGTAGCTACAAGATTTTCAACTACGTGTGGACTGGCTTGATATTCGAGAATTAATCGATAAACATTGGCTAGGTTTCTGAAGTTACTTGGTTCAGATTCCATGATGTATTGAATAAACAACACTATGCAATCTTCAGCACTAATACTAAAGAAGTCTTCCTTTTCACTGTTAGTAGCACTCATTAATGTTTTAGCAATCTTTCGCATTTGAGTAAGATTGTTATTAACACAACCGTCTAGAGGATTAAAATACACCCCTGATTTGTTTCCAAAATCTAAAATATAAGTTGAATAACCAACAGAATTTAAATAAGGAATGGTTGCACTTAACTCTCCACTAGGGTCATTTACAATAAGTGAAGATTTACCTTTTGCATTCAAGATGAACGGGAAAACTGAGACTTGACTTTTACCTTTTCCAGATGGGGCCACTACAAGATAATTAGACTGACTTTGAGTAAGAGATAAAAAACGTGTGCCATCAATACAAAACCCATCTGCTTCTGATGAAATAAGCCTTGAGGCTTTTCCAAATTCTGCCTTTAAACTGTTGTCTTTACCCCAAATGGTCTCGACAACTTGTTTGGCAACTGGGGAGCTTTGGCTAATTTGGTTTAAAATGAATTTTTTAATCATGGTAGTTTGTTTAGGGATTGTTGGAGAACATTGACAAAAAAGGTACTGATGGCTTTGATTACTTTAAAACCTGAGTAAAACAAGGTTAAATAGAATCTGATGATGGAAACAATAAGTTTTCCAGTTGCACTAATAATGAGTTGAAAAGTTGCTTTCATGCTTTTGAATTTTAATTAGGTTTAGTAACAAATACGGTTTTTCCGCATCACTTAAAATGGTTTAATAACTATTTTTGTAATTGCAAATTTCTTGTATGTCCTAAAGACCATCGTTCCATTTAATTGGAATTTTACAAGACATTTGTGTCTATTTTATAATGAATAAATGAAATTTATAATGGAAAAATTATTATATCAGAAAGTATTTGAAAAAGGTGTTGGCATGAAATCTGCCAGTACATTAGGGCAATTATCAAGT